CCGGACAAACAATTTTCAACAATATTGGATGTTTATAAGTTTCCTTTTCCACCCCATCCTTGATCAAAAGGTGGGGATGGGAGGCAAGAAAGGAGAATCTTTGCCCCTGGGAAGGTGGACCTAAACAGAAACAGTTGGGAGTATCCTTTTTGAGCAGGGCAACAGTAGACACATATTTACTGTTCCGCATTCAGTTAAAGAACTATATCAGAAGGATTAAACTCAGCTGCTCGTGATTGAAAACTCTAAATAATAATGGCTTAAACAAAAAGAAGTGTATCTCTCATGTAAAGAAGTCTGGAAGGGACTTCCCTGGTGGCACAGTGGTTAAGAATCCTCCTGCCAATGAAGGGGACACGGGTTCGAGCCCTGGTCCAGGAAGATCCCACATGCCGTGGAGCAACTAAGCCCTTGCACCGCAACTACTGAGCCTGCGCTCTAGAGCCCACAAGCCACAACTACTGAGCCCACCTGCCACATCTACTGAAGCCCACGCGCCTAGAGCCCATGCTCCACAACAAGAGAAGCCACTGCCATGAGAAGCCCGTGCACCACAATGAAAAGTAGCCCCCGCTCACCGCAACTAGAGAAAGCCCATGTGCAGCAACGAAGACCCAATGCAGCCAAACATAAATAAAGTACATTTATATTTTAAACAAGTCTAGAAATGTACATACTCCTTACATCTTACTACTCTGCCAGCCTCCTTTTATCTCAGGGTCCCAGATAACAATGTGAATTCCAGCCTTCATGTCTATATTCCAGGTAACAGGAAGGAAAGATGAGGGGACAATTCCTCCCTTTAAGAAAACGTCCTGGGAGTTTCACATGATATTTCCAATTATATCTATTTGCCAGAACTTAGTCACACTTAGCTACAAGGGAGGCTGGGAAATTATAGTCTTTATTCTGGGCAGCAAAAACTGTGGGTTCTATTCCTAAGGAAGAAATGGAAAACAGATATTGGGGGATAACTGTCTCTTCCACAAAGATAATCACAGTGATCTTCTTTCATTTTGTTAAGAACAAGACAACAAGTCCCAAATGGGATCACTTATGCTAAGCCCCACATCATCATACTGAGACTTAATTACAATTTCAGCTATCCTAGAAATGGAATCTTAAACTAGTCAATCAGAAATTGCCTGATAAGCACTAGTTAGGTTAGGCAGATAGACCCCTGTCATCCCCTAAGGAAAAGTAACCTTGCAATCACCATTACGTTTTTTTGCCTAGTATAACTTTCTTTTTCCTGTTCCCTTCTGCCTAAAAAAATCTTTAATTTTCTACAGCGCCTTGGAGATCCTTTCTATTTGCTAGATTGGTTGCTGCCTGATTCATGAATCATTGAATAAAGCCAATAAGATCTTAAAAATTTACTCAGTTGAATTTTGTTTTGTAACAATTTACAATGGAATAAGAGATGGGTAGAAAATTAGAGGGAGAAACAGATAAAATAACAGAAACAATGCATAAATTCTTGGCATTTATTCTTTTTAAGAGTGGAGTACACTAAAAAAAAAATCAGAACCCATAATGTGGCAACAGATATATATTTTAATACATGTATACTACATGCAGTAGAAGATGTAATACTCACAGTAGGATCAGAAGATAGACATTTATTCAAGATTGGAGCCTGGTCAGGGAGGGCTGTTGTCAGAGCTAGTTTCATAATTCGCATGGCCCAGTGCAAAACGAAAATGCAAAGCCTCTTGTTCAAAAAGGGCATCACGAATGCTACATGCAAATGTGGCGATAAAGAACAGAGAACATGCATTTTGTGCTTATCTCCTCAGTTCACGTGCATGCGCCATTGTCTCCTTGGACTTCATTTACAAAACACAAGTTCAAAGATAAAATTATTAAGTTTCAAGACAGTGACAGCAGGACGTTAAAACAATGGCAGGGCCCTTCTGAATGTGGGACTGACCAGGTCACATGCCTAGGAAGCCAGCCCTGGGTGCTGTGGCAGACGTGTGCCACTCATTTTCCCCTTCAAGAAAGGGCCCTCTATAAATAACAAGGTCCTACTGTATAGCACAGGGAACTATACTCAATATCTTGTAATAACCTATAATGGAAAAGAATCTGAAAAAGAATATATATGTATAATAGAATCACCTGGCTGTACAATTGAAACTGACACATTATAAATTAACTGTACCTCAATAAAAAAATTTTTTTTTAATTGACAGAAAGAAAACAAAAAGAAAGGACCCTCTGCCCAGAAGTGAGGAGTGTGGTTAGCTAATGGGCTCTAGGTGTGATTTTCTTCAAGATCTGCCTCAACTTTACAGCCTCCTTGACAATATTCTTGGGGAAGCACAAGCCAATAATTAAGGAAAAGCAGTCTTCTTAGGGCAACTCCCAGTAATGACTGAGCAAGGCACTGGTACTCCGGACTGGCCATTCCCACCCAATGTGGGGCTCCTCTACTGGGCACCCTTTGCTTGGAGCTCCCGCTAAGCCGGCAGAGACAGTTAGAGCTGCACTACTGCCTGCTGGCTCCTGCCCCAACCTGCTTCTGCCCTTTTCCTTTTCTAATAAACCTTTTGCATTCCTAGCTCCAACTAAGTTTTGCTTCTCAGAGAACACAACCTGTGGCAGCCTCATTTGGGATTTGGTCTAGAAGAATGGATAGAGAATATCCAGGCAAAAATTCATATAGAGGGAGAATGAAGCCCAAGAAGCAGCACAGTAAAAAAAAAAAAAAATTATGAATCATTGTGCTGCTCTTGCTGGTGCATAGAATGTGTGTGTGTGCTGGGAACTGGGGATGGGGAGGGAGAGTGGAGGGCCAAACCAGGAAATTGACATTGACAGTACAATTAACTAGACTACATATCTTACTCAGACTTTACCTAATAACAGTATTTTTAAAATTAAAGTGTTAGAGACTCCCCTAGTGGTCCAGTGGCTAAGACTCCACGCTCCCAATGCAGGGGGCCCGGGGTTTGATCCCTGGTCAGGGAACTAGATCCCACATGCCACAACTAAGAGTTTGCATGCCACAACTAAAGATCCCGCATGCCGCAAGGAAGATCCTGAGTGCAGCAAAGACGACCCAGCGCAGCCAAATAAATAAATAAATAATTTTAAAAATTAAAGTGTTTGTTAGCACTTCAATAGTGATATGTATATAAATCGAGTATTATTGCTAAGGGCTTACGAGTACTATCATTCAGAAATAACTTCAGTGCTGCCTGTGAGCATGTACCAACCTTTGTAAATGCATTTCCTTGTTTTGATAATGTACTACGGTTACATAAGATGTTACCATTGGGGGAAGTTGAAAAAAGGGTAGACTGGACCTCTGCACTATTTTTGCAACTTCCTGTGAGTCTATAATTATTTCAAAATAAAACTAAAATTTTTAGCTTAATGTTTCAGTGATTCTCCACCCTATACATTTTGCTTTATACAATTGAGACCACATGCCATTTACATTTTTATCATGCTTTTCTCACTCAATGTAATATCATAATAATTTTCATATGCCATGAAAAAGTTCCCTGTAAGCATAATGTTTGAAGACTGCATGATCTCCACTGGCATATTTGTGACATATTACTATGCATTTCCTTATTGTTGCGTGTATAGTTGTTCTGAGTACCAATCCACTCTCTCAAAAGTTAGGTATGAGGTGCCAAATTTGGCCCATGGTAGTTTTGTGAGTCTGAAGTTTTAGTTGAACGCGTGAAGACCCCTAATGGAAGTTGCACTAAAAAAGAATACTCAGAGAAATCTTACTCCATCCCTACCCCCTCCACTGCACTGTCATACATTTCTCCATTTATGACTTATCCTTCCTGTGTTTCTTTTTGCAAATATAAGTTAATGTTTTTCTTACATGAAGTACAAATACACACATACACACACACATATATATATACACATAAAGATATGTATTTTTTCATACTTTGATTTTATCACTTATATTCTGAAAATCACTCATATCAGTTCCTAGAGACCACCTTCATTCTTTTTTTAAATGGCTGCATAGTGTTTCGTTGTGTAGACATATCAAAGTTTATGCAACCAGTTTCCTACATACGGGCATGTAAATTGTTTCGAATATTTTGCTGTTAAAAGTAATTCCACAATAAATTATGTTTTTTCCTATTTGTGGAAGTGTATCATTATGGTAAATACCTAGATTTAGGACTGATGGTTCAAAGGGTGAATGCATAAGTGATTTTGTTAGATATTACCAAATTCTTCTCTACAGGGGTTGTACCATTCTGCACTTGAACTAGCAGTGTACGAGAGTGCAATCCATATCTGCAGACAGAGAAGAGCCTTTTCAAAAAGAGTTGATGCTGAATGCATAAAACTAGATCTCTGTGAAACAAAATTAGGAAGTCAAAAGAAAAAAACTATACTGAGATATACATGGCAAATAGAAAGTGAACTGGATGAAAGAAGAATTTAAATTTTTTAAAAAAAATCCTAACTGAAATGGCATAGTCAAAATCTACAGTAGAAACAGTAAAGAATGAATTAGAACTTCAGAAAATTAAATGAGTAATATGAAGGATACACATGATTAGCTCTCTCAGCATTCAGAGGAAACGGACAAAGAGATGACAATAATGATAAAGGACATAGAAGGATGCTCTAATAACATAATTACAGATGTTTCTCAGGAAGAAACCACTTAAAACAGATTTTGTAATCCAAGTTAGAGTACAAGAATAACTGTCCTATCATGAGGATTAATAAAAACCCAAAATTAAAAATCCACAGATTGAAAATATTTATGATACCACACATGCGCACACACACTCACACACTCAGACTCATATTATTCTCACAAAATTGTTTAATTTCAGAGATAAATAAGACAATTTCCTATAAGTATTATGAAAATAAAGACATCTTTTAAAAAGATGTTAAAAGAGGGACTTCCCTGGTGGCGCGGTGGTTGAGAGTCCGCCTGCCGATGCAGGGGACACAGGTTCGTGCCCCGGTCCGGGAAGATCCCACATGCTGCGGAGCGGCTGGGCCCGTGAGCCATGGCCGCTGAGCCTGCGCGTCCGGAGCCTGTGCTTCGCAACGGGAGAGGCCACAACAGTGAGAGGTCCGCATACAGCAAAAAAAAAAAAAAAAAAAAAAAAAAAAGATGTTAAAAGAGACTGCCAAATATAAATTTCCTAGATCCACATTTAGGAATAATCATCATCCTAATTAAATTAACCAAAAGAGTTTTTTTTTTTAGTATTTATTTATTTATTTGGTTGCACCAGGTCTATAGTTGCAGCAGGTGGGCTCCTTAGTTGTGGCATGCAAACTCTTAGTTGCGGCATGCATGTGGGATCTAGTTCCCTGACCAGGGATTGAACCCAGGCCCCCTGCACTGGGAGCACGGAGTCTCAACCCCTGTGCCACCAGGGAAGTCCCACCAAAAGAGTTTTTAATTGATGAAACGATTCTAAAATTCATTTAAATATATAAGAATATATTAATAGAAAGAATATATAAGAATATAGTAAATAATTTGTAAGGAAGAGCATTGGGAAGGGATTAATCCTTTCTTCTGGTAAAACCTACTATAAAGCAACAATAAGTAAATCAATGTGGCATTGATGGCAATGTGGCAAAATAAGCAAGTCAATATAACAAAAGAAAGAGTTCAAAATCAGATCTCAGTATATGTGTTATATGAGGTAAAACAAATCAGTGGAGAATGCAAGGATTCTTCAACAGATAGTTTTATTATGATTGATTAACTATTTGTGTGTTTGGGGGGGGAGGGGTGTTATTTAGAACCTCACCTTACAGCACATAACAAAATACACACCAATAGATTAGGATTAAATAATTCAGTTTTAAAATATCACCATCAAAAAACCAAAGAAAACATAGATTTTATCCCTTCAGCTCTCTAAGTTTAAAAGCAACGGAAGGGAGTTCCCTGGTGGTCTAGCGGTTAGCATTCGGCACTTTCACTGTCATGGCCGGGGCTCAATTCCGGGTCGGGGAACTGAGATCCTGCAAGCCAGTGGTGTGGCCGTAAACAAACAAACAAACAAATAAATAAAATTTGTTTAAAAGCAACGGAAGAAGTCACTAAAGAATAGACTCACATACATTTAAAATTTTTGCATATGTAAAATGCCATAAACAATACTAAAATATAAGTTGTAAAAGCTATCTGCAGTGAAAATACCAAGCAAGTGGTTAATACGTTATTGTATAAAGCACTTACAGAAATCAACTACAGAAAGACAGGAGTTGATCATCTACTACAGAAGAAATTGAAATGGCTATTAAGTATGTGAAGAAAGTGTTTTATTAATAACCAAAGAAACACTGATTAGAATAGCAATACCATGTTGACTTTCAACTTTCAAGTTAGAGGTTAAAAAGTTAACTTGCTTAATGTTGGAGTTGAGGTGGTAAGAAGACAGCCATTCTTTGACATTGCTGATGAGGTATAAATCTGGACAATCTCTTGGGCAAGAAATTTGGTAATTTCAATCAAAGAGCTTTACAGATGCCACCACTCTCTTACCCGTAATTCTACTTTTAGGATTCTATCTCAAGGAAATTCTAAGAAACATGTACAATACTTTAGTCACAAAAATGTTCAACCCCATGTTATATATTATATAAAAAATGGAAAGTACTAAATGCTTAATGTAAGAGGATAATGGTTAAGTAAATAACAGTCCGTGACATGAATATAGTGTAGTTTTTAGAAATTAAAATGTGGGCAAGTATTGAGTAATTATCCAAGTATTTTATATTCATTTGCTCATTGAAACCTCACTACAGAGATTCTCTTGGCCCTTCCAGGTGTACCCACCACTTTTCTCTAACCTGTTATGTTCCCTGAAGGCTGACCTGTATGGACTGCATCAACAGGCTTCCTTGCCTTCTAACTTCTGATTGGCTTGGGTCAATGGAGAGGACCAGCAGGAGATTGTTGGAGGGAGGGAGGAGAGGGAGGTTGGGTGTTTATATGTCCTGGCTCCCTCTCTCTGGGTTTCCTGTGGACTGACTGCCTTTCTGAACTAAAGGCCACAGCTAGTGTCAGGTAGCCCTTTCTAAACACCTCTGCCACCAGGTTCTGATTACTGCTCTCTCCCCCTACCCCTTTATAGTCATGCCTTCTTGCTGTCACCAGCCTGTGAGTACTGCACGATTCCTTGTGGTTTCTCTCCATCTTCCCACATCTTTTTATTTTTATTTATTTATTTTTTGGCCACACTGTGCCACTTGTGGGATCTTAGTTCCCCAACCAGGGATTGAACCCGGGCCCTCAGCAGTGAAATCTCGGAGTCCTAACCACTGGACGGCAAGGGAATTCCCTTCCCACATCTTTTAAAATACTTCCTCTGTGCTATTCTCTTCAAATGAGGTGTGCCATTTTCTGCTGGAACCTTGATACAACAACTTAAGAGATTCTACAGTTGAGGAGATAGGCACAGAGAAGTTAAGTAATTTGCCCAAGGCCTCAAAGGGAGGAAATAATACTTGTAGAATATGTCACAATTATTTATATATCTATCTTAAAATAACTTGTACTGTTTTTATTACAAAAGATAAAATATACAATACAAACAAGTAAAATAAAGAGAGAAAATACTCATATTTCTGCCCATCTATTCCATCCATTATTTATTTAATAAGATTCCCACATTTTTATCTCTAGCTGAACTCCTACTGCTTTAGAATACAGACTAAGGATCTCACTTTGGCCCAGCTGATCTCAGCAACTTTGCCTCCCGCACTTGGCCCCTTGCCATAGCTCCATGGGTTGCCTTTCAGCTACTCCAATGAACTATGTTTCTTTCTACCACAGGGCCTCCATCCACATTGTTCTCTCTTTCTAGGACATTTTTACATACCCCCCCTCCCAAAGTTAACTTCCAGAATGGTCTAGACGCCCGAACACTTTATCACTATGGACCTTTCCAAAATAATATTTATCAGAGTTTGAATTGACATACCAAGCATGTGGCTTATTTCCTTTGCAGCTCCTCTAGTAGGCTGTATGTCACTGAAGGTCTCCAGCTGTCTTGTGTCACACGTGTATCCCAAGTACCGTGCCCTGTGCCTAGCACGTAGTATGAAATCAAATATTTGAATGAAAATAAAGCAATGGGACAAATGAGAAAGTTGGACAGAATCACATTAGAAAGGGCTGAATTCTTTATTATTTCCTCTTTCTTTGCTTCAAAGTCTAAGACTATTTAGTCATAAGTCTCAACCCCTTTGCTAGAAAGTAAAAGCTATTAAAACTGTATAAAGAAAAAACCAAATCTGTATTTCTTTACAGTTTCTTCAACAAGATACTATTTGATACAAATGGAGGGGGGAGATGGGCAGGTGAGCAAGAGAAATGTTTGTAAGTGGGAATGGATACTAGTTAACTTCCTAGAGTTCTCAACACTTACTCTGAATTCATGTGAAAATTACGTCTTTTTGAGGGCTCTAGTGATGACAAATTCAGCTCTAGGAGGATAAGGTGGAAATTTAAGGAAGGGATAAAACTAGCAAGACAAGAGGCTGACTGCACAATAAAATATACGCACTAAATAGTCCTCTTTTCAGTAGGATGGGGAAACACGTGTTAATTTGGTTCTGCACCTTAGTCATCCATTGACCTTCGCTTTTAAACTGCAGGTCCCACTTAGTCTGTGATAGCTGAGTTCTTAATTTTCTCGCCTACTCGCTTCGATTTTGGTTAAGAACTTCAGCTTGAAAAACCCCATTGAGAACCAATAACTGCAAAGTCTCCCCCTGGGGGTAGTTCCCACCCCAACCCCCCTCCCGAGGGAGGGAGTGCGACTGCGCAGACCTCAGAGGCTCCTGGTGACGTCACAAAAGAGCCAAACCAGGTGGGGGGGCGGCCCTGCGACCACTTCTTCTAGGTCCGCTTCCTTCAGTACCCGCTTCCCTGAGCCCACCCCCTACCCCCCCTCAGTCCTCCCCTTTTAGTTAAAGCGTAAAATCACCAGGTTGAACCCCCATGTGGCCACGCCCACACTCTCGCCAGGCCACACCCCCTATTTCGGTGGCGTAGCCAGGCCACACCTGGCGGGAGGGTTCCCCGCGCGCGCGCGCGCGCGCGCGCCGCGTACAGGCGGGGAAAGCGGAGCTAGGCCGCTTCAGCGCCTCGTCTCCCCACCCCGCAGTGGGCCCAGCTCTCGGGGCGGGTCTCCGAGGGTGCGGATCCAGGCCAGCTTGGGCGGGAGAGACGCGCGCCCGTGAGGGAGGGGCGGAGGAGAGCAGAACATCGCCCCCCGAGGCCCGCCCCCCGCGCGCGCTCCAGAACAATGAGCGCACACAACTCAGCGGCCTCCTTCAGCTGCGGCGGAGGTGGCGGCGGCGAGAGCGGGCGCGAGGCACAGCGCGCTCCCAGAGTCGGGGACCCCGCTGCGCAGATCTCGAACGCGGCCTCCGCCTTGTGCGCGGCCTCGTCCTCTACGCCCATGTGGAGCATCCATTCAGAGGGGCGGACCGTCTCCCGTCAGTTTTCCAAACCCCTGTCGAACGCGTCCGCAGCGGACGCGGGGTGCTCCCGGAGACACAGCGCGCCCTCCCAACTCAGCCACGCTCCTGGCCTAAGAACTGACACAGACACCAAGGTTGGCCTCTGGGGCTTTGGCGCCCGCCTCCAGACCGACCGGATCCCTACGCCTGCGACCCGCTCGACCACCTCGGACGGAGCCGCCCCAGCCGCTAACTCGGACACCAGCAACCCCCGGGCATCTATACAAGGATCTGTCCCGCCCTCAGTATCCCCCCGATTGTCCCGACGTCGGTCCGCCCCACCCTCAGTACCCGACTCCACCCGGGTATCAATACCAGGAACTTCTACAACCAAGAACTCCCTCCAAGGGTCGGTACAAGAATCCATCTCGCCCTCGATGCCCAGCTTCCTCAAAATATGGGTACCAGCACCTCCACAACCCAGTAACACTCCCCAAGTGTCACTACTTGGGTTCACCCCGCCCTCAGTATCCGGCTTCCCTTGGGGTTCGGTACGAGGACCTCCTACACCCAGTAGCTCCCCCCAACTGTCAGTACAAGAGTCCAGCCAGGTCTCCATGCCCGACTACCCCCGGCTATCTGCACCAAGATCTGCCCCGCTCTTGGACTCTTCCCGAGAATGGGTACAAGGGTCTGCCCCGACCTCGGTTCTCAGCCCCCACCCCGAGAGGTCGGTACGAGGATCTATCCCACTTTCGGACTCCTCCCGAGTGTCAACACAAGAGTCCACCCAGCTCTCAGAGCTAGGTTACCCCCGAACATCGGTGGAAGAATCGGCTCCGCCCCCGGGGTCCCCGGGAGTACCAGTACCAGGGTCCGCTCCGCCCTCAGCACCGGGCTCCGCCCGGGTATCGGTGGAGGAATCGGCTCCGCCCTCGGGCGCCCCCCGAGAGTCGGTAGAAAAGTCCGCTCCGCCCTTGGCCGGCCCCACTCCTCTACCCACGACCCGGGAGAGCCTTGACCAGAGCATGGAGAGTCAGGAGAAGGCGAATAGAGCGGGACGCATGTTCGACGTAGTCGTGATAGGAGGCGGCATCTCAGGTCAGTGTGGACCGTAGCGCTAGCCTGAGCGACCCTGGCCGGCCTGGGGTGAGGGACTTGCAGCCGCAAGGTGGCGTTTGGTGGGGGTCTCCCTTGTGCATGCGAGAGTGCAACAGTGGCCGGGCCCTGGATTCTGCGAGGAGGGGGGTGGGGTTGAGCCGGGTTTGCTGGTGGTGTGAACTGGGGGAGGCAGGCACAATAATTTTACTACTACTATGAAATACTAACATTTAATTAGCTCTTGCCGTGCAGTTATATTTAGCAGTTTACGTGGATTTTCTCAATCCTCAGCTGTCCTGTAAGGTGGGTACTTTATTCGTCCCTATTTTACAAAACCTAGAAACGGAGGTAACTCTGCAGATGTCAAATCACCTAACCGGGGAAGTGGCGATGATTTTCTCCCATTTAAGACCCTCACTCCTAATTCCTGAGGTAGCTGCTTTGCCTTACTGATTTCACGCCCTTTGCCCTAAACAGAACATCAGTATACGGATTTTGGTAGTATTGAGTGTTATTTCAGTCCTGCTCTTCTCAAAGCGCTTTTCCTTAGAAAATTTGGTAACTGGAGAGGAAGGAGGAAGAATCTTTTAGGAAAAGGTTTTTTTTTTTTAAAAAAGAAAAAAAGGTGGGGGTGGGGGGAGAGAGGTGGGCTCTTAGTTTTAACCTACTCCAGCCGTTTCTTTTAGAACTTGCAGAAAGTGTAGGGCATTTATTATCCAAAGGGAATCTTCTTGTGAAGCAGGGGCTGAGGGCAGATGAGGGAATGTCCTGTTTGTGTCTTTCCCCACTGCCTGAATCTTGCCCTGTGATGAGACATCTGGCAAGCCTGGGTTCCTCTGGTCCTGGCTTGGGTTTGTAGCTGACCAGCTGAGTGATGCATAAGGCTTTCCCATATCTTCCTGGAAACCTCATCATGATTGATATATTAAATTTGTCACTTATGTTGTCATAATTGGTAAAATGTCTGAAATTTAGGAATTGTGTTTCAGCTGTAGCTAGAGTCCCACACTAGTCTGTCCACAACCTGGGAGAATGTTAATCATTTCTGAAATATACCTGCAGGATCTAATTTAGAAAGAGGGAAAAATAAGGTGGGAGGGAGTAAGTAGAGTGCCCCAAAGTAGCCATTTTTATGTATAATCCTTTTGAGGAGACTCTTTTGGGTGAAGATAGGTTTTGACTTGGCCTGTTTCGGATAACAGTCTTAATCACCAGAGAAGAGATTGGTATGAGCTGTTGCTTTGACAACTCCAGCCAGTGCCAATAAAAACATGCACGTATGTTGGAGCATCAGGAAAGCAGATCCTGGTGGAGAGTACGAAAAAGAAGTACTTCTCTTGTTTCCCTTCATTCATGTATTAGCTTATTTATTCATTCAACAAACACTTGTTGACTGCCTGCAATGAAGTGGACTGGTGTTTCTAAAAGCCTAGTTCTCGTATGCGAGCCTCCTAGAAGCAATGTGATTGTTCATCACTGGAAAATAAATATGATGATAATGTGTTGTGTAAATTGATTAGGAGTTCTGTCTCTATTCCCATCTCTATACCATTCATACTTCACAATTCAGGGTTCTTTCAGGGATTTTATTCTTGTCTTTTTCTTGTTCTGTGTTCCAGTATTCCTTAAGGAGCATTTTGTCGGTTACTTTTTCTCTGCCTGATGACTGGCTCTCTCTCCCTTTCCACACTTCACTCCAAGTAGTTGGTCGTGAGCAGAATTGGATTTACCATGTAGCTGATCGTGCTAATGCTCTATGGCCTTACAACTGCAGGTCCCTTCTGGTTCTCATTCTAAATAAATAACCAGTTTCATGCTGAATCTTGTATTTTCTTTTTGCATTCTTTTCTTTTTTTTCTTGAAGAGGGCACCCAAATTATATAAGCTTCAGCCTCCTCAAAACCTGGATCTTTCTGTGGTCACTATTAATTATTAATTTGTTCATTTCCACTTGGGGGAAGAAGAGAGCATTTCTTGCACAGTAGTTCACACTCCTATTCCAGAACCCAACTTCCACTTCATCAGTGACAGTGGAACAGGCACTGGGATTCCTTTAATATCATCTCTTATCAGTCAGATTTGATTTTAACACCCAAACTGACCAGAAACATTGCTTCCTGGCTGTGGTGTCTTGCCAGATGGTTCACAACTAAAATGAAAGTAGATGCAAGTCTGGCTTAGGATAAGCCCTGCGCACAGACTGGGTGTTTCACGAGCAGGTGAGAGGCATTACTTCTCAAGGGTTCTTGAGCTCAGAAACACCTCATCTTTGTGTGTGCTTAGCAGTATCCCATGAATTACTTAATAGTCCCCATACCAGTTTTAAATGCTTTTGGATATTTCTTCTGTCAGAACTGGCACATTTTAATATGTTATCCACACACTTATAATATATGGCCAATACTTTGCATATGCAGTGTTATTCCTATTATATAACAAAAATAGCTCCCAGAAGCGTACAAATCCTCAATTCCTCAAAAGCAGTCCATATGAACAGAATTATCTTTCATTTCTTCATAACTATCTCTGCACAAAGAATAGCAGCATCTTAATGTATCTCCCTTTTGTCATTAAAAATCATGTAACAGCACGTCTTACAGCCACAAAATCCCTTTTTCCTCCCACTCACCAATTAAGTAATTTTATGTACTCTATTAGTAATTGAGAAGGGAAGCCCCCACCCCGCACTCATTTGTAAGTAGTATAATGGTAACTTCAACATGCTCTGGCCCTTATCCATCATCTATCACCAAGTCCTTTTTGAAACTTCTTTCATGCCTTCTGTGACACTATTGGATCCTGAATTTTTATCCCACACTGTTTGCTCCTTTTCTGTTCCTTTCATTGTGCCCATATTCTTGCGAACTTCTACTTTTGAAACGGCCTCGAGGTTCAGCTATTCATCACTTTGGGGCTCTTATGCACTCCCTCTCTTTTTCATTCTAGGGCCTCACCTTTCCCTTTATCTATAGGAAGCTCTTAAGTTTCTAGTTTGAATCCTTTACTTTCTCCCAACTCCTGTCCCATAGCTTATCTGCTCTTAGGTATTTCACACTTGATTGTCTTATTCTTACTTCATATTCAACATGTTCAAAAGCCTCCTTGCCCTCCAACCTAGCTTCTCTTCCTCACTTCCTTGACTCTGTTCTTGGTACCACCATCCTTTCCATCATTTTTGACACATCCTTCTGTTTTATCTCTTACACCCAGTCAACAGATCCTTCTAACTCCTCCTTTGGGCTGTTTCCTCTCTTGTGTCTCCTCCATCCCCCGGACAGAACCTTAACCCCTTCAACTCACCAGGTTATGACCATCTTCCCGGTGGCCACACTTTGGGCTCTCCCTTCATGTCCATCCCAGACTTGATTTTTTTTAAACACTTCTTTCATCACCTTGTTCTGCTCAGGATGTTCAGTAGTATATTGCCAGCCTTTCAAGCTCCACCCACCCCTCCACATATCTAGTCCCACCTTGTTTGACCAGTAGCATTTCCCACCATCCCTAACATAGCTTTAGTCACACTGCTCTCTTGTCTCCAGTGCTACACCATGTTCATTTTGTCCCTCCATTCCTTCCCTGTTTTTGTTTTTTCCCTAACACGGAAGTGCTTCTCTCTGAACATTTACATCCTATCCGTTCTTCAATACCCAATTAACGCTCTTTTCCTTGATTGTTCTGGTTCTCTGGATTTTTCTCTCCTCTTATGGAGCTTGTAATCTATATCTGACCATTTGAACTTATTTTATGTTCCCTTTCCTGATGTTATTTTAAATATAGCAGTTGAGTCACTGACTTTACATGCTACTTCTTACTCATAAGCTGACACAGATACAACAAGTGACAGAAACCCAGTGGTATAAGATTTTAAAATCTGCTCCTAACTGAGAATTTCTGAATTAGCTCTCTTTAGGGAGAGAGAATAAAAGGAAAGAGGGGTGGAAAACGCCCACCTCTGGGGGACAGTGCATACTGCAGAGTCTTTGGGCCAAAGGAGTTTTTAAAAGGCAGTGTAGTCCAATCACGTAAGATTTTAATCCTCTCGACGGCATCTCCTTAGTAATGATCTGGCTGTAACTTTGAACACATCTAGGGAAAGGGAATTCTGTACCCCTCAAAGCAGCTCATTATGGGTAGGGGTGGCCCTGGGGCCTGGACTCGTTCAAGCATTTTGGGAGCCTCTACCGTATGCCAGGCAGTAGCTAGATCATGGGGCAAGAGGTATATAATGAGGGGTAAGAAGTGTCCTTGCCCACAAGGTGCCCCATCCTCTTGCAAGAAGTAATCAAGTGAGAAAATAATTGACATGCATAGAATGAGAGAAATATTAATATTATGAATCTGAAGAAAATGCCAGGACCTTGAGAGATAAGTATGATTTTAACAGGTAGAGATAAGAGGATGGAAAAAAGACACACCAAACAAGAGAGTATGGATGAGCACAGATATGGAGTCAGGAGGCCCTAAGCCATACATGAGTAGTGTTTAACTTAAACCCATGACAAGAGTTCTACTGGAGGAAAACAGTTGCCTACTGTGCCTCTAGCGATGTGATCCTGGTAGTTGCTGAGATTACCCCAGTGTGCCACCTCTGCCCCACATTTAGCCAGGGCACAGTGAAAACGCTTTCATCATAACACCGGATAGCCCTGGGTGATTAGAATTTTTCCATGTTTTTTTGAAATTAAATTCCAAGTGTCTTGGAGAGAGAGCTTTTTCCAAATAGTGACTAAGCAATAGAACCTCCCTATATTTGTATCCACGAGCTGAGCTCCACTAAAAGAACTGAGAGCATAGCCGCCCGGAACACTGTGCTGTGTAAGAGCAGCTGGGATGGAATCTTTCTCATCATCGGAGACAGAAAAGCCATTTCGCAAGAAGATTGACTAATGTTCTGAATCCTGCCAGCGAGTCCACAACATACCCCAGTTTCCCTTTTTGCTGAAATACATCACCCTGAAGAATCATTTCTGCTAGGAGTGATTTAGGCATTTTAACTCAGA